AGTATGTTCGGAAGGATAATTTAACTATTTCATCATGGTTACTCTCAATCAGAAGGACTAGATTAGTCTAAAGAAAGACCAGATGCTGGCCTTTTGACCATACGGGACTCGACAATAATGTGGTTTACAGCGGCCCCCTGCTAGGTTCAGCCACCATGGCCTCTGGATGCCAGCGGCTTGGGCCACTTCCTCAAGGGTGACGGCCGCGAATTTGCGTGATTAGCAGTTGACTATGCTACATCCCAACTAATATTTCATTGTCGTGCAACATAACGAAATGTGCAGAGGACGTTACCTAACCTCATGAGCTAGGGATTTCCGCATAGCGTCTCGCCACAGCACAAGGAATTGAAAGCTATAAGGACAGATTTTACATTAGTTATGTGTACTTAGGATTTTGGTCTAATTCAGCTAATTCTTCGTGGTCCCACCAATCAGCTAGCTTAGGCTAGACTGGAAAAGCACCAGACGCCGGTGTTTTGATATTCCGGGTCTCGTCAGTGGTGCACCTTCTTGCGGACCACTGCCAGTTTCCGCTTCCATTACTTCTGAATGCAAGCAGCTAGCTCCAGTTTGCCATGGCTGACAGCCGAGGAATTGCATGATTGACAGTTGAGTATTATATAGAACGGCTCATCTTCTATTGCCGCGCAAGATAAAAAATTTGCAAACGGTAGAGGCTAGCCTCAAGAGTTAAGAACTTCCTAACAGTCCTTTGGTACAGCACGAGGATTAGAGAACAATACAGACAGATGCTTATATTACTGATGGTTATTGAGGATTTTGGGTTAATTCGGTTAATCCTCCATGGTTGCTCTCAATCAGCAGGCTTTGGATACACTAGAAAAGCACCAAACACCATCATTTCGAAATTCTGGGTCTAGTCAGTGGTGCGCCTTAGCGCTGGTCCTAGACCGCTTCTGACCTTAGAACTTCCGGATGCCAGCAACTAGTGACACTGCCATAGGTGACAGCTGCTGACCCGCGTGATTGAGAGTTAACTAAGTTATAGCCCGGCTCAACTTCCACTGCCACGCGAGTTACGAAAGTGGCCAGCATCACGATCTAGGAATTTCCGCATTGTGCCTCAGCAAACCCAAAAGCTTTGAAAGCTATAAGTACAAATTTGTACACAAATAATGAGTAGTGAGTATCATAAGATAATTTACCTTTTCCATCAAACTTACTCTCAACCTGGAGGCTTACGCTAGCCTAAGAAGGCACCAGAAGCCGGCGTTACCACATTATGCGTCTCTAAAGTTGTGCGCCCAAATGAATTCCGCATGCATGCAGATAAGGCCATTTTGCCATGGGGGACATCCGCGGACCTGCGTCATCGAGAATTAAGTATGATATAGCACGGCTCATCTTCCACGGCCATGCATGTTACGAACTGTTCAGAGGACAGTTGCTAGGCGCACGAGCTAGGAATTTTTGCGTAGCGCCTCAGCACAGCAAAAGAACTTTAAAGTTATACTAAAAGCTTTTTGTATTACTAAGTATTAGGAAGGATGTAGAGCTGTTCAGCTAATTCCTCATGCTTACTTTCAAACAGCAGGCTTTGACTAGTCTAAACAAGCACCAGATGCTAATGTTTTGACCATATGGGTCTCGACAGTAATGTGTTTTACACCGGCCTCTTGTTAGGTTCAGCCACCATGGCAACTGGATACCAGCAGCTTGTACAATTTCTTCATGGACAACAGCCGCAGACTTGCGTGCTTGACAGTTGACTATGATATATCCCGACTCATCTTCCATTGCTTTGCACCCTACGAACTGTGCAGAGCATAGTGGATCCTCGCAAGAGATAAGAATTTCCGCATAGCGCCTCAGCGCAGCACAAGTAATTTAAAGCTATAAGGACAGGTTTTTATATTAGTTATGACTATTTAGGGATTTGGTCTAATTCAGCTAATTCCTCATGATCACTATCAATCAGCCAGCTTAGGTTAGTGTGGAAAAGCACCAGACGCCGGCGTTTTGATATTCTGCGTCTCGTCAGTGGTGCAATTTACCGCTAACCCCCGTCGGCGTCCGCTCGCGTGACTTCTGAAACCAAGCATCTAGTGCCACTTCGCCATGGTTGACAGCCGCGGAACCGTGATTGACAGTTGACTAGGAAGCGTCCGGCTCACCTTCGATTGCCATGCCGGGTACATATGTGCAAATGGGAGTGGCTACCTTGAAAGTAAAAAATTACCATAGTGCCTCGGCACAGCGCAAGAAGTATAAAATGCTACGTACAGATGTTTATATTACCTATGACTATTGAGGATTTTTGTATAATAGAGCTAGTTCAACATTGCCACACAATCGGAAATCTTATATTAGTCTGGGAAGCACCAGTACCCTAGGGTTACAACCTACTGGGTCCCCTCATTATTGAGCATTCCAGTAGATCCCTGCTGAATTCTCGTATCGGGAATATAGTGTGGATTCGTCAAGGGTGAGGCGTACGGACCTGCGTCACTGAAAAAACTATGACAGGCTCAATTTCCATTGCCATGCTACCTGCGAATTGTGAAGAGGTGAGTGGCTAGCGTCACGAGCTAGGAATTCCTTCGTAGCGCTTGGGCACAGCTCAAAGAGTTTTATATTTATAAAATAATATTGTGGTTTTGCGGATAATTCAGTTAATTCCTCATTGTCACTCTCAATAAACTTGCATCAGCAAGTTTGGAGTACACCAGGCACTGTGGTTTCCAACTTCTGCACCTTGACAGTAGTGCGCTTACTTGAATTCTGTATGCATGCAGCTGGTGCAACTTGGCCGTGGGTGAGAGCCGCGGACCTGCGTGATTGACAGTGGAAAATGATATAGTGCAAATCAACTTCCGTTGACATGCAAGCTACGAACGGTGCGGGGGCAGTGACTATCCTCTCGAGTTAGGAATTTTCGCATGGAGCCTCAGCACAGCATAAAGACTTGTAATCTAGAAGGACAGAACTATTTATTACTGAGGAGTGTTGAGGATTTTGCAGCATTCAGATGATTCCTCATGGTCTCCCTCAATCAGCAGGCTAAAGGGTATTCTGGAAAAGCACCAAGCACAGATTTTTCGACCTTCTAATTCTTATAAGCGATTAGCTACATTGACTAGCTGATGCAAGCTGCAAGTGCCAAGTCGCCATGGGTGACTGCCGCGGCTCTGCGTGATTCACAGTTGCCTAAGATACAGTCCGGATCAATTTACATCGCCATGCAATTTTCGAACAGTGAAGAGGACAGTATCTAGCCTGACGAGCTAGGAATTTTTGCATGGCGCCTCGGACTTGAAAGCCACAACGACATGCTTTTATATTACTAATGAGTAGTAAGCCTTTTTGATAATTCAGCTAATTCCTCGTGAACACTCAATCAGGTTTATGATTGTCTGGGAAATCACCAGAAGCTGGCGTTCCGGCCTTCTACGTCCCGCCACTTGCGCGCTGTCTTGACGTCTGGATGGAAGCAGATTGTTCTACTTCGCCATGAGTGACAGCTGCGGAACTGCTTGATTGACTGTTGAATATGATATATCCAGGCTCATTTTCCGTTGACATGTATATTACGAACTGTGCCGAGGACAGCTATATGCCTCATGAGTTTGGAATTTTGGCATAGAGCCTCGACGCAACACAAGAACGTGCCTATAAGGCCAGCTTTTATATTCTCCATGATTATTGAGGATTTTGCATCAAGAAGTGACTGATTCTGAGGTTGAGATAGCCGGAATATCACTCATCAGGAACGACGTCCTCAGCAGAGGAGGTGGGGTCCTACTCTACTACCGCAGCGATCTACAATGTACAATAGTTGAGGACCTGGAAACACACGTTACCGACTCACTCTGGTGCCGTCTCCGACCGAGACACAACGATACATGTCTCATAGCTATCGTTTACCGCCCCCCAACGTCCACTCTGGAAATGGATTCCTGCTTGATCCGTGGCCTAAACAGAGTAACACGCACTAGGTACAGCCACACTCTCATCTCCGGGGACTTCAATCTACACAATCTGGAGGTTTCGGCATCGCCCAGTGAGCAGTTCAAAGCAGACTTGCAGGAACTGGTCGCTAATATTCCTTTGTACAATCATGTCACCACGCCCACTAGATTCATGACAGCAAACAAACCGTCAATATTGGACCTTGTGCTCACAAATGAAGAGCTCATGGTTGACAAGTTATTGATGGATGGTCCATTAGGTCACAGTGCCCACGTAGTAATAACTTTTGACTATGTGTGTTATGCAGAGTATCCATCTGAACACTCGGAACTAACTCATACAATCACACGCTATTACGTATTGAAAGAACTCGCCGACGCAGCTGCTTGGGAATTCTCAAACAAAAGTCCTTTTGACAACGTTTGGGCAGAGTTCATTAATAAGCTCAGCGACATCGTCAACAACGCATCAGAGACCAAACCCCTTCATCCCGCGAAAATGCCTTCAATTATAAGCAGTAGGACTCGCAAATGCCTAGTGATAAGGGATGCGGCATGGCGTGCCTACAAGATTAACCCAGACTGAGAGACTTGGGGAAATTTCCTGGCCCATGGCAACCATTGCACCGCACTTGTCCGTGAGGACAAAATAACTTATCAACAGTGCCTAGCCAAAAAGTCCATGACAAACAACAAACTGCTATATAAGCATGTCAATAAGCTTCGTAAAGTGAAGCATGAAATACCCCCACTATTCACAACAGGCGGTAGGTTACAAAGCGCCCAAGAAGCAGCTAATGTCATGCGGCTGCAATACGCCCAATTTTTGAACTCGCAACATCTACCTGTCCCATACTATCAAGCTCATTACCGACACCTTTGTTTACAAATGTACTTTTCAACCCATCAATTGTGCTAAGGAAGTTACTCTCACTGCGTGAACATAGTTCTCCGGGAGCAGACAACATCCGCCCGAAGGCACTGAAGGCTGTGGCCACCCAGCTAGCTGAACCACTGTCACAGTTCTTCCAAAGGTGCTTTGATGTACAACAAGTCCCCACTATGTGGATGTGTGGCATTATAACCCCTATTTTTAAAGGCGGTAGCCGTTCCGATCCTGCTAACTATCGTCCAGTGACTCTCCTCCCTGTGTTCGCGAAGGTGATGGAAGCAGTCGTCGCTGAGGCTTTAATGGACTACCCGGAAAAATGCAACAACTTGGTACCGGAACAGCATGGCTTCCGTCAACACCGGTCATGCACCACCAACCTACTTATTGCACGAGGTAGTTGGACGGAAGTTGCCGATGATTGGGTCGGAGTCGACGTCATCTATCTGGACTTCTCCAAAGCTTTCGACCGCCTTGATCACCGCATCCTACTTCAAAGACTACAAAGTTACGGAATCGGAGATCCTGTACTTGATTGCATTGGCAACTTCCTTTACCAACGAAAGCTCCAAGTACTTGTTAAGGGACCACTTTCTAACCCAATTGAAGTGGAATGTGGTGTTCCGCAAGGCTCAGTGCTGGGACCGCGCTTATTCCTGGTGTTTAGTAACGACCTGGCAAGAGTCATCTCCTCAAACTTCCTGCTTTTCGCCGATGACGTCAAGATATGGCGGGCGATCAGTAACAAGGCAGATCAAGATCTTCTCCAACATGACCTAGATTGCATTTACGAATGGTCAAAGAGGAACAAGCTTCAATTGAACATGGCTAAGTGCAAAGTGATGCATCTGCGTCACCAGCTGGTGAGGGCTTACAAGATTGGAGACCACACCTTGGCGAAGGTTTCTCAGGAGCGGGACCTGAGTGTATTGTTACAGGAAGATCTCGGGTGTTCCAAACAAGCAGAGAAGGCGAGGAGAACCGGCAATCAACACGTCGGCCTTCTTCGCAGAGCCTGCGGTCCGTTTGAACCATCAATATTTCCCCAAATGCTTTACACCTACGTGCGACCTCACGTGGAATATGCTATTCAGGCGTGGCAGCCGTGGCAGAAACAGGATCTCGTTGCTCTCGAGACTCCTAAACGAAGGGCAACCAAGAACGTCAGGGGCCTCTTTCATCTGCCCTATCAGCATAGACTGAAATATCTAAGAATGCATAGCAGTCGATATCGGCTTTTGCGGGGGATCTCATAATGGTTTACCACATTCTGAAGAACCCAAACCACATTTGCCGTCCGCTGCTGGAATTGAACCACAACACTAAACTAAGAGGTCACCCTCTGAAACTGACAATTCAGTATAGCCGGCTTGAATGCCGTAGAAATTTCTTTTCTCTCCGCGTGTGTGAGCCTTGGAATGCCCTCCCTAATTATGTCGTATCTGCTCGCAGTCTGGAGATATTTAAAAAACGTGTTGACGATGCATTGTTTCATCATCATCATCATCATTACACGTTAGCTGGAGGTGGAAAACACCTCAGCTATTGTGCCGCAATACAAAATAAAAGAAAAGGAAAAGTGACAAACAGTGGCAAGCCCGCTGAGTCCCCCGTAACGGATAGACATCGTTCCGGAGAGCTAACAGCTGGCTGCTGTAAAAAGAGAATCATATTATGCCTAACAGGTGAGATCGTGATTGGAGGGGGATACTAAACAGGAGGGGGATGGGCAAAGGAAATCACAACACAAATGCCACTGGTGCCGGCTCCGAGCCATATCAGCAAGTGTGTCCAACCAAACGTGTTCACCGTCCTTAGGACCCCAGCCAGGCAGTCGGGATGCACCAACCGACGCCAACTTCGAAGTGAGAGTTTTCATTTCTCTCGACCAAGTCATCACTTGGCCTCCCCTCCTCTTCTTCCAACCGCACCCACAACGCGCAAACAATGCACGTCGCGGGAGTCGGTGTGCTGGCATGCTCAACACATGGCCCAGCCATCGGAGCCTGGTGCGTGATATAATGGTGCTGAGCGGTTCACTCGCTCTTCCTGCACCAAATACGCGACGTCGAACACGATCATTGCTCACGAGGTGTTCCCACCAGACATGAGTTAAGCTGCGAAGGCAGCGATGATCGAATGTGACGAGTCTCTTCATGTCCATCGACCTGATGGGCCAGGTTTCACAACCATATAGGAGAGTTAAACGGACGGCTGCGTTGTAAACTCTGCCTTTCAGGGCAAGAGTAATGTCGCGTCTGCGCCACAGGTGGCGGAGATTGGCAAAAGCACCTCGAGCTTTTGCTATGCGGTTCGTAACCTCATCTTCAATCCCACGGGTGCTAATATAGCGGCCCAGGTACTTGAATTCCTGAACGACTTCTAGCAGATCACCACCAAGCGTTAGCGCAGGGTTGGTTCCCTGCCAATCTTGGAGAAGTACTTTGCATTTCGATGGAGCAAAGCATAGCCCAAAACGACTGACAGCCAGTGCTAATCGGTCTAGTGCTCTTTGGCATGTTTGGAGGCTGTTACAGATTAGGGCAATATCGTCCGCATACTCCAAGTCAAGAACTCGCTCACCAGGAAGTAGCTCCACACCATCTAGGTCGTGTCCAGCGAACGCTGTTTCTATGACTTCATCAATAGCGAAGTTGAAGAGGAAAGGTGACAGCGGGCATCCTTGTCTCACGCCGCTGGTGATACTGAAGGGTGGCGAGACTTTGCCATAAACCCTCACCCAGCCCGAACTATGCGCGTACAGCGCTTTGATAATGTTTACATATTTATCAGGCACACCTTTCCTCAACAGACAGTCCCAAAGGGCACATCGATCGACCGAATCGAAGGCACCTTTTATGTCAAGAAACACGACAACGGTGGGTCGCCAATAAACATGGCGGTGCTCCAACACTTGACGCAATGTGAAGATGTGGTCGATGCAGCCCCGACCTCGACGAAATCCGGCTTGCTCTTCACGAATCTGGCTTTCACGAGTGCCAGTTAGTCTGTGGTGAATGACAGAGGCAAGCAATTTAGAGGCAATCGAAATCAGACTGATCCCTCTATGATTGCCGCATTCCAAACGAGAGCCTCCCTTGAAAATTGGGACAATGACGGAGCGGTTCCAGTCTGTCGGGACTGTCTCCTGCTCCCAAATCTTACTAGCAACTTGTGTAGATCATCTACTAGAGCAGGTCCCCCGAATTTGAAGAGGGCTGGGGGAATTCTATCTGCTCCTGAGGCTTTATGCAATTTAAATAGCCGGATCTCACGTTCGACCTCTGCGCGTGAGGGCGGATCCGAGGAGACGGCCCAAGGAGAAGGGCGCTCAATGCCCGAAGATGAAAGCGATAACTCAGGCTGGTTAAATTGCCTTGCAAAGTGTTCGGCCCAACGCTCCAAGCGGTTTGACAAGCTGTGGATCGGCTGCCCACTCTCGTCGCGTATGGTCTCGCTAACACCAGGTCTCCTGATGCCTGTTTCCCGTATCAGACGGAATAACTTACGATGATTACCCACGGCAGCAGCTGTTACCCACGGCAGCGGCATTGTCTCACTTACACTTCATTTTATGACTTGTTAGCCAGGGGCTACAAAACGCAATCAAACGGTTTCTTGCCAAAAGCCCAACCATTGGATTTATGGATTTACACGTTTAATATGCGAAAATCTCCGCTATTTCACATAAGTCTATGGTGAGTCCACCACAAGGCTTTTCACTTTATTATGCAATTGATTTTCGCAATAATTTCCATCCCACGGAACTTGTTAAGCGATGCTTTTTTACCCCTAATAAACCATTGTCCATTGTCTATCATGCGCACTCTCATACGACATACTTACGCTAGTCTGGAGAAGCGCAAGATGCCGGCGTATCGGTCTTCTCATATGTTTAACCAAGCATCCGGTCACAAATAATGTCAGTCAGTTGAAGAATCCGCAAAATCTCTATTTTTATTATAAACGCATATCGAAAATACACCGGTTTTCAAAAATCCAACCAGGTATGTCTAAATGATCATTGTTTAACTTTCATATTATCATTTCGTCTAAGATACCCATGAAGTATTTTCGCTCAAGCTTCTTCAGAATTGAAAGTCTCTGGGGATTTCTTAGTGTTGTTCCTCCTAACAAGGACTCTACTTCGGTAACGGTCCTTGTGATAGGAATTACTGAGGGGTACTATACAGTGAACCGAGGTCTCAACAGAGTTTGCCTGTCGCTATCCAACGACATAGCGTGCACTCCAAATCCAAACTGAACTTTAGCATGCCACTGGTTTATAGCGAGGTAAACATACCGTCTCTGACCAATACTGTTGTTTTATTGTTTGCGATTTTGAACCATACCAAGTGAACTGAGCTTCGGGGGTGTTTCTCATAGTCAGTAAGATAAACATTGCTGTTACAAAGAGGATGAACCTGGCAACCGAGTAACAAGTTTACTGAGAAAGAGCCAGAAGTAAGCGACCTGTGCCAGTGTTTTACCTATTTTTCGAAACTTTGAAGCTGGCAACTTAATTATCAGTAGTGCTTGTCCCGATTTTAGGCTTTCAATAATTCGTGCATGAAGATGAGGCAACGTTTATGTTGGAATAAAAGAGTAAACACTCATTAATAAGGGAGATTGTATGTAAATCTGTAATAATTCCTCGTGGCAACTCCAGTTAGATAACCACGCCTCCGGGGAAGCATCAGGCGACCGCAAGTTTCCGGTGTTGCCCCTCACTTGGCTGAATCCAGAAGCAAATCCACAGTCGGTCCACCGTACCGCATTTACCACTTGCCAACAGTCAACATCTCTAGACCACAAGGAACAGCGAGGCACCGCCACAGATTACAGGAAAAATACAATATGGCGGGACTCTTCCATCCCTGCTATGCAAGTTACGATCGTTGAAGAGGACAAGGCAAATGCACGGAACCGCAGAACAAAACAATGTGCAAATTCGAATTAAAGGGAACGGCTACATTATGACAAGTGTTATTTTCGGCTTGTTCACGTTGCCGAAACCAGCTGAGCATATTAAAATGTTGATCTATTCTAATCATATGTTGCTATGCACGAGTAGTGTGCTACAGGTGAACAGGTTCCATGTCAGCAATTGGTGATTCACCCCTGTACTATTTGGAGTCAAACCGGTCCCAAACTTTAGACCAGTATTTACAAGCCTGTAAACCTCACCAGAAAATGCGTTTAATATAGCATATCGTTCCGTTAGAAAGATAAAATTTTACGAATGGTGTAAGAGAAACATTTAGTTATTACGGACAAAATAGTGCATGCTTTCCAATTACTTTTGTGTGAGCAGAGTGAGATTTATGAACTGAATGTTTAAAATCGTTGGTGTGGGAAATATTTGGGGTTAATTTAATTCACCCAGCTATTCACATAAGCACATATGCTGCTATCCCTACCGCTACATTACAGAGAGGACTGGTGAGCATACTTTTTGGTTCACTTTATTTCGTATTACAAATGCAAGGGATTCCTCACGTTATGGAAAGAGGATAGTGTGTGGTTTAATATTCGGTAATTATAAGTGTTAGTGTTGTGAGCAGCCTGACCAAATGGAGTTTATGTGTTGATTAGCGATATATTCAAGAGTGTCAGTTTACGGATGGCTGACTTCGCCTTTGAGAATCCTGGCATTCGTTCATCTTGTGCACGCTCTCAGTTCATTGCAGTAATCAATGCATGTGTAAAGTCGGTGTACTCGATACCTAAGGAGTCTAACTTTGACCTCCGAAACTCACAGATGTTTATTTTTCTTATGGCGGCTTTACTCGATGGGGAATAATGATTTAATCCACTTCGGTACAGGAACCAATATAGATTACCCAAAAGAAAGTGCCTTTCAACTGTGTCATCAACTCATTGAGAGTCCTTGCAGCTTAGGTGTGGATGTAGACACTGCTGATGTTGCTAGGGCTAAAAACTAAATGTCGCAACTATAACGACGTGTACAGAGAACGACCGAACAACGCCAATAATGACCCCTCTTGTATCTAGATCGAAAAAAAATATCACTGGTAATAACCAAGTCCTCACTTGGTTCTGATGGTGAAGTATGCACCTTATTAAGAAAGTTAAATTATGCTTATTCAACAAGTATTACGAACAGAACTTAGTTCAGGATGAAGAATAATTTTTGGTAAACTCCTTTCAGACACAAAGTTTACATAGCACTGTTTATATGTGGTAAGTGTCAAATTGTGCTGAGATTAAGTTCTAATCATTGCAAACAGTTAAA